ATATATATATATATATATATATATATATATATATAATAATGCACATATATTTATATATATAATGGTGAAGTTTTTTTTCCTCGCCATTGGCTTGCTTGGTTTGGGTCTTGTGGAGCTGTGCATGGATGGATTTGCACTTCAATGTTTGGACTTTCAGCAGTGAAGATTTAAAGCACACTGAACTGAACTTCAACTCTGAACACTGGAACACTTCTATGGTAAGCTGCTTTGACACAATCTACATTGTAAAAGCACTTGAGCAGGGGTGTCCAAACTCAATCCAGGAGAGAGTGAGCCCAGCTGATTTGGGCGCCAGCAGCAAGGTGAGCCCAGCTAAGCCAGGATCCAGGAGTGCACTGAAAGTAGGCCGCGCATGGGCAGATCGTGAATGTGGGAACACGGGGAACAGCGAGGTAGCTGCCCGGAGTGGTGTAAAGACTGATTTGGACATCGGCGTCAAGAGACAGGTGTCAGCCGCGCTGCAGGAAATGAGAGTAGAAGTGCGATGATCCTTCTGCGCGCAGTCTCTGTCGGCCAGAATTTGCACTTCAGAAGTGCCAGGAGGCAGTGCGCGTGAAAAACGTCCCTGTGAACAGTATGCTCTCTGCTAAATCGCTTCCAGTGAAATGTACCTCGGAGGCCAAGAGGGTCAGACACTCTGATTCTGAGGTAGAAGCTCCAGGACGAGTGGGCCTCCACAGCCGATGTCAAGGAGCTCACCTTACACTAAGACATTCGCGCGGTCATCGGATAGCTGATAGAATGCGATGATGCGAATCGACACAATGGTTCAATTGAGAGAGTACAACAATGGGTGGTGTGACGCCCATACGTCTCTGGCGCAACATAGAAGTGGATCTTTGCACAAGATAGGGGATTTGTGAACAAGCAATTCTGGAAATGGTGGGTAGAACCCTCAACTTGCAATGGGACATATCAAGGTGGAAAGGAGGTATTTGTAAGGCACCAAATCCAAATTGAACTGGAATGGCAAGTCATTTTTGCAACAGTCCAACACCAATTCGAAAGGCTTATTGTGTGGGAAAGGAAGGACGAACGAAGGAACCTAAATAATAAGGGGAAAAATGTAAGGATGAGGTAAGTGAAATATCCCGGTGAAAAATT